GCTCGACCCATTGCCACCACTAACCAAACGGGTTCTGAATAAAAAAGAAAAGCACAGAGCCCCACCACCAGCGGACCACCACCCACCACCATGAATCTGTTATCCTTGCCTTGTGTGTAAAAATAATTATATATATATATATTTTTTTTATTATTTTAATTTTTTTTTTGCTTTCTATTTATTATATTTTCCTTACTTTACCAAGCGGAAATGTGAGATTCACACTCAACACATTAGGCACGTGTGTGACACAAATACTAGAGTTGCATGCAAGTCTACTATTTGATAAAACCACGCTTTTTATATGAAGAAGCAATCTCAGTCGTTTAGATTAAAAGCGCGGCTTGCGTGTGCTTTTTCTTGGCGAGGATAGACACATTTGAGAAGAAAATCAGAGCGTTTATTTTTAGACAAATCACTTAGCCTCGTTTGTTTTCATTTAAAGTAATTTTTTTTAATTTTCATTCTCATTTTCAACCATACATTTAGGGTGTGTTTGAACCACATTATTTTGGAAGAACGTATTCTAGAATAGTAGATTGATAGAGAATGTGTGGTTAAAAAAGAAGGAAAAGTTATTGATGTCATGAAAAATATTATTTTATTGAAAAATGTATAGTTGAAAATGAGTAGAATAATGAGAATGAGAATTTTAATGTGTACCAAACAGTGGCTTACACAATAAAATATTTTACACGTAAATTAAAAAAAAAATCTTACTTTTTAGCCACATATTCTTCAAAAAATAACTATTCAAATCTCTTTTTTTTAAAGAAAAATTTAAAAAACTAATGACCATCAAACAAAAGCTCAATGTGGCTTGTGAATAGAGCAATAGATTGTTAGGGATTCGGGTTCATTCTTTGCGATTTGGAGTTTGGATATGCACCATACATTTGAGAAAATAAATAAGGAGCTTATTAAGTTGTGGAACATAATTATTGTCATTGTGAAGAGCTAATACGAGGAACTACAGGAACAAAAGATGATATAGTATAATCTTACATTTGCGTGAACCTCTATAAATATGACGTGTTATTTTGTGTTTATTTTCTTTCTGCGATGGAATTGCTATTGTTGGTATAGAATTAGAGTTTATTATTCTCAATAGGGTAATTAAAGCCCTGTTTGAAAATAAAGTTTTGAATAGTAATTTTTTGAAAAATGTGTGATTAAAATGTAAGAAAAAGTTTTGAATTTACATGTAGAATATTTTATTGTATGATTAAAAATGAGTTTATAAAAAAAATTTGGATAATGGTCATCAAACGGGGGCTAATATTTACTTTTGACGTAATATATAAAACAATATCCAAATGGAGGATTTGTTGGATGTAGAATCTACTCCAAGAGATCGATTTCATCAAGTTCAACTTCGTTAATTTAAGTTTTCTTTCTCAACTTGTATTCATATTCAAACATTTGAAGTGTGAAATGCTTGCATACAGAAATTTAACGAATATTTGAGAGGTCTCGACATTGGATAGTGATTGGGTAACTATAATTAAGCTCATGTTTGAGTAACATTAAAATTTTCTTTCTCATTATTCTATTCATTTTCAACCACACATTTTTCAATAAAATAATATTTCCAATCACATCAATAATTTTTCATTCTTTTTCAATCGCACATTCTCCATCAATCTACTATTTCAAAATACATTCTTTCAAAATAATGTGGTTCAAACACACCCTAAATGTTAAGATCTACTTGCTTATTTTTCAAAGTTAAGTACTAACTTACTACTATAACAATAGTGTGGTGACCAAAGACGAAAATTTTCCTTATCCAAAGCATACAACTCTCCATCCATTCGAGAAAGCTATCACTTCACCTGAGAAAGACCATGAAATCTTCTTCTTCTTCTTCCAAGCACCCATCAGAGGAGGACCAAAAATGCACCGCCAAAAATTCACCTTCAAGTTTTCTGATACTGCCTCTTTCTCCTCCTTTCACTTTCATCCATAGCGCTCCATTTTTCAGACAACAATCAATTTCAAAACCCAACTTCCAGTTATTCACAACAGCGACTTCACATGTTGTTCGTGAATTCCATAGCTCCATTGATAAATTTTTTAAATCGCTACACGCTTTTGCGTCCCAGAATGCTTTTGTTGATAAATTTCTTTCATTTTCTTACCGTCTTCAAAGTTGCTGCCAGGTAATTTTATGTCTTTCTGAACATGTAAAATGGTTATGTTTCTATTCACATTTAGTCCCGCAAGGGCGTTGAGATTAGGTATCTTCAAGTTAATATAATCGAATATTAATTTAGTAATTAAGTTTTCTACCTGAAACATTGATTCAAAACTACTTCAATTCATAGATTGTAGATCCATATTTAAGAGTAGAACACATTCGGAATCTAAAGTTTTCTTGCTTGTAGATTTATTATGTACTTCTAGTCAAATTGTCATAGGTGGAGGAAAATGTTTCCTTTTGGCATGAGACTATTAGATGTAGTTCTGGATAGTTGGCAGACATCAGCCCCAGATATGTATGGAAATAGGCTAGGCTTAAACGGCCAAGTTGAAACAAAATAGCCAAGGCCAACCAGACAATGCTCGGCCACTTTCTTAGATCAACCAAAGTCGAGTCTTGAAGGCTCAGTCCCTTCCACTTGACGTGATTACTGATTATCTGATCCGAGAGCCACAATTTTTTCTTCATTTCCATGTAGATAATATCCCTTGTCCACCTTGAAAACAGAGAAACGAGTTATCTCTTTAACATGATAACAATTGTTTTGGACAAGATATAAATGTTATGCAATGCTTTTCCACCTATTGTTCAAAGACCGTCCCTCGTAACTAAGGTTCTCTTGCCTCGTCAACACTGGAAATTTTTTATCCTGTCCACTAAGAATAGGAAATCAATTATAATCCTTGAATGGCATGAGGTTGATTTTTAGCAATCTATTAGAAAGGAATCGGTTCACAGGCAAAAAGGTATTGTGAAATAGACAACACGTAGTTTAAAGATTGTAAACTGTAACATTTCTCTATCGCTCCTATGGCTTGAGTCTAGTGGTTGATTTTTGATACAGAGCCGTAATAACTAGAAGTTGACACTTGTTTCAGATTCCAAGGAGAAACTACCAGAATTTGAATGTTTTGTCCTATCATAATTTTGCTGCCATTTTGCCGGGAGACTCTGTGGCAGGAATAGTGGTTACGAATGGGATTTTGAATTTCTTGAACATTTATAACACGTTGTTGGTTGCGAGGCTGGTTTTAACTTGGTTTCCAAATGCTCCTCCAGCAGTCGTCAGCCCCCTCAGGTATAGTCTCCAATATGTTGTCAATATCTGAAGAAAAGAATGCAATTAACATGGCTGTGGTACTTGTTTCAGCACATTATGTGATCCATACTTGAACATATTCCGGGGCATCATTCCACCACTAGGAGGAACACTTGACCTTTCACCTATATTGGCGTTTCTTGTTTTAAATGCCTTTACCAGCACAGCTTCTGCACTCCCAGCCGAACTTCCATCTTCAGGACTTCATCAGAACGTTTCACCTCATGCAACAGCATCTCACCTTACGACGTCACAGGAGAAATGGATGAGAAGGCTTGGTTGGAACAAGTCAAAAAGATCCACTGCTGGTGAAAATTAACTCGTTTTTCTCTCATTGCCTCTATGATACTTAAAACATATGCTTGATATGTCTACTTTCGAGTGTAAATTCATTTTGCAACAATAGGGTAGCTCTATGTATGATTTATCAATATTTCTATGTCCAAGTACAACCATTAACGATAGTTTATGGGTACATGATGCATCTACGATCTAATACATTGTTATTTCTTCATTTCAATACTCGGGGGAAACTGGCAGAGGCGAATAACGCAGGAATACTTCCTTGGGTTCATTCAGGCTTAAAGGCTCAAATAGCGGATCCAACTCTAATCCAAGTATACGCACAAAAGGATTGGAATCTCCATTCAAAATTTCATCTGATATCTGCAGAACCAGAAATAAACAGAAAAAATACAATAAATCAACCTCGATGCCCTGCGAAACAATGAGACACATAATGACATTAACCTGTAGAAGGTAGGATCGATAATATTTATAGGGAAAGAAATCTAAGTATTTATTATCCTGGCTTCCTGATTTTGGAAACAATATATTGTAGCTTTTTGAAATACATACCTGCGAACAACCATAGATTTTGAGCACCTTCAGTAAAGAGCAAAAACCAACAATGGATTTTAGTTCCTCGTTAGTTATTCTGCGACACCATGATATATCCAAACTCAACAACTTTCTTGAATATTCGGTGAGTGAAAAGGCAGCATTTGGCCGACCTGTTAAATCACAAGCAGTAGGAGGAGAAATAAGCATAAATTTGCAGGCGGCATAATATAAGGAATTAAGAGCCTATATCACAAAAAAAAGGAAAAAGTAACATGATGCAAACGACGGATGACTGATCTTTGATACATCTGAATCGAAACTGAAACCACAAACTTTCATACCTTTCTCACCTTTTTCAATACAAGTTCCATCAAAGACCCTCCAGAAGTTTTGAGGAATGCCGCAATAGCTTCATCACTGCAAAACAATAACTGGATCAGATTACTCATAGGAAAAAAGACCAAGTTTAATACTTCATACTGCAATTCTATTATCGACTAGTAATCATGAAAGAACCTAGCACAAGTTAAAACTGCACGAGTTTTTATAAAATGAGAATTAAAGAAACCTGAATCCATTGTTGCAAAGGTTGAGCTTTTGGATTGACCTACAACAATTGGTAAGATATTCAATTCCCAAATCTGTCAAGTTATGCAGGTTTGAAATATTCAGAGAACGTAAATCAGCACAAGTGCTCCCAATGATTTTAAGAGAGCGATCAGTCAGTTCCCTGTAGCAAGGAAAGGCAGATGAAGGTTAGAACACAAAACTGAAACTGTAAGTGTAAAAGACTAAAAGCGAGTAAAAACTTCTTGGAACCGAAAGTTCCTTTTACATTTTTTTATTCCGGCAAACATGTTTGGGTTAAAAGTATATACTTTTAAGCCTAGACATGTGTTTGGCTAAGCTTAAAAGTTACTTTTAATTACTCGTACTTTTTTTTAAGGTTTTGTCAGACATGCTCAATATATCAAGAACAGAGCAAACCTAATAGACTTACGGGCAATTAGCTAAATCAAGTTCTTTTATTCCTCGACCACATACACGAATCACCTCACTGATAAATTGATCGCTTACAGTAGAAATTCCAGCAACAGACAATACTTCCAAATGTTCAAACTTCCTCAAAGCAGGTAGAATAAGCATTGCATCTATATTTTGGCAACCATCTATGTAGAGTTCTCTCAATTTTGAACCCAAAGAATAGGATATAAATCTGATTGCAGCACAAGTAAGAAGGGTGCAGTGGCCCAAATTTATAGACAGCAATGCAGGTGCTGACATTACAAGTGCTTTAAGCCCACTGTCTGATAAACTACAGGCACCCCTCAAGGAACCAATAGCTAAATTCGGCAAGCTATTTAAAGATCGAGCTAATGTATCAGTAAGTACAAGATCAAGCATACATTGCCCACATAGATCAAGTTGAAGTACCTGAGTACAAAATCCATACAAATTAGCTACACCAAAAATAATACCATCGAAGTACATGATAAGAATAAATAACACACAAATAAACCGCCCTTCCACCACACAACCCAAGAACAATACAACTACAACAACAAACTAAGACCCTATTTGGTTCAGCTAGAAAAGTTTATTAAAATTTAAGTCAAAGTTAACAATTAATTTTAACCACACATTTTATGAGACTCACAACTTTTCAACCACATATTCCATCAACTTTTATCAAATTTAGCCTTATAACCAAGTAAGTGCTTGTTTGGAATAGCTTAAAAAGTTGAGGTCAAAGTCAACAATGAATTTAAATCACACATTTCATGGGATCCATATCAATTTTTCAACATTTTATCAACTTTTATCAAAATCTTTGTCAAACAACCCCTAGAATTTCGAGCCGGCTACATGAATCCTGTTTTGCCATTCAATTGTGTTCATTGTTAGATCTATTGGGAGATCTCAAGCAACTAGATCTTTAGCAACTACAACATGCCCTGTTAATTTTGCTGTACCTTTCCCTCTTCTAACTTGCAATACCAAAATCACTTCACTCTTATGAACAGCTACTACTTTAGACCTAAACACCTACTGAGCTTCTCTTACTTTATATTTCAAAAAGGTTCATAAAAAATGCTTCTTTAAATTCAGCTTTCTGCTTTTCATTTTGATAGGAGTAGGTGCCTATTTCTTGCTCATTGTCTACTAATTGATCCTTCACGGCCAGCCAGGCCTTTATCTTTAACCCTATGTAAAGAGAAGTAAACAACCCAACCTCTTTGTTCCAAGCTTAGCTTAGTGATCCTTTTCTTAATATATTCTCAATCAGTGCCACCTCAACTAATTAAAATATATTATTATATTTTGTCTTATCTAATTTAGCATGAGTGCACATCCATCTTAGAATCTTCATTTCCAATACATACATCTTGACCTTTGACAGCTTAACACTCAACACAAGAACAATGTAAGCAAATTATAATAAAAACATAATACATGCTGATTTAAACAAGCAAAGTGTATCAATATGTGAACCTCTACCAATTTACAGTGCTTTTGATCAGAGTTCATGGTGCAATGCTCATGTGTTTCTTAAATATATTTGCTATCTTTTGCATTTTCACTTCATCCAAGGTCCCCCAAACTACAGAAAATTTCGGATGCAATCTGATCAATCTAAGAATCGATTCAACAAAGAAAATAGCAATGGTCAGTAACAATAGTACAAGGTATAGCCCTCATTCAGGGGTACCAAATTTTCCGAAAACCCAGAATTCATCCTGTACAACCCTACTGCTAGACAATTCCTTGAGATCCATCTTATGCTCTTCCCTTTTAATTCCGTCAATTTTTCTCTCACTGAACTATCTTCATAATTGATGACCACTCGAACATTTTATTTTTTCTATCTAGCTTGAGATTTGTTCTGGTTTTTGGTGATAGAATTAAGATACTAATATTTATTTTCCTTTCAAATTCCTTTATGAATAAGTTCTGAACAAGCTTGTGACATACAGAAAGCAGGAAAAATTGATGTCACCCTAAATTGCCTTAGGTATCAAAATATGGTGGTGAGTTTCCTAGGATCACTTGCATTAACGAAATAGGTCCATTTCAACAATCAGAAGAAAAAGATCGAAGAGTACTCTGAGAAATACGGTAGGAAGATAATTTTATTCCTTGGATAACCATATAGAGCAACTGCCACTAGGAAAGTGTCTAAATGAAAGTCTAGTCACTTGGCAATATCTCAGTTACTATTGAACATCCTAATCCTCTCACCCAACCCAACCCTCCTCCACTCACTTGCTCACCCCAATATGACCTTGCATGAGACACAAAGAAGGGCAAATTATGATAGTGACATATGGAATCTCAGTGAACATTTTGCTCTCCCACTTTGATTTTTTTTAGTCCACTGTGTCCAATTTAGGGCAAATATCTCGGCGGCACATCAATGTAGGATCAAATAATTTGTAGTACTAAAATTACACAATACTGAATTCTTGAATTCATATCAATTAAACAAATTGTTGGAAGAAAGTGATTTCTTTTCATTTCCAAGTGCTATATGGAACATTTAATACATTTACCAATTTGAGGATGGATATTTTCCCTGAATCTGAAATTCTTAATTTGGTGGAAGTGAAATGGCCTTAATATCCATCTATAACCACATAAAAAATACCGAACAAGATTCTAGAAAATATTATATACACACGAATAAAATACAAGATGAGAAGAATATTGACTATGCACGTATAAATATGGAAGGGAAGGCGGAATGAGTTACCCTCAGACTTCTTGAGTCAAAATTCCCAAACGTCTGCCGAAATTGTGTTTCAGTGAGCCACGAACAGTTCTTCACTCGTATCACAGTTGGACATGGTTTTACCAGGAGGTTCAGCATATGGACATCCATTTTACGCATATGGCACAACAAAATAGTTAGTCTTTCTTTAAGCCAATCTGGAATCAGTTCCAGTGAAACTATCCCCTCGGCATTCTCTGCAAGTGCTCGTAAGGAAAGATCCACGAGCGGAGTAGCGAGGGGTCGAGCACCTTGCCTCTTATTCTGTGCTCTAACCTCTATTTGCGTACCTTTTCCTCTATCTCCCTCGTTAAACAACCTGCTTCTTTTCAACCCTGAATTTTCACTTCTCCCCTCACAATTCTCACCCTGCCTCTTCATTGAAAACCCAATTCAAGAATGAAAAAGAAACCCTGTATATATTCCATATTCATCCAAGAAATAGTAAAATTTCAATTTGTGATTGTAACTGAGTTAAAGAAACAATTTCACTATCATTTAAAGGGGTTTATTCCAGTATATTGGTAATGTGAGATTGAAAATGTAGCATAGAAGATTAATTCTTGACTGTAACCGTACAGGAACAAAGAAAGTAAATGAGGAATTAGTTGAAAAGCCTTTTAACCAAAATCTTGGAAATAAAAGAAATTCTAGTTATTTAAAGGGGAATGAGTTGGGATAGTCACTCCTCAACAAGTTTTTGTTTAAAAGGAAAAAGAATTAATTATTTAAAAATCTCA